AATCTCGTGGATTCTGCAACCTCTTCAAGTAGGTCCGAAAATCGAGTCTCAGGGTTTCGAGCTCATCAGCGTTAATAGCATCTTTGCTCCTGCGATGTTCTGTACAGAATCTAACAGAAACAGACGGCTTCCCTGAGTTTCGATTTTGTGTGTAAAAGGGGACAATAGGCAATTGCGTTACTTGCTGTGTTTGTTGGCGGCAATGTGCCGTATTTTAAGGTTAATATGAGCGTAGATTGCCGATGGACTCGCTCGTTGTCTGTATAGATACGGTATTTGATTCCTTCGAAATTCCTTGGAGTGTAAGGTATTCCTAAGATTTCCTTGCATGCACATAACCACAATATACCAGTGAGTTTACATGTGCGTGAATTCAGCGATGTGTGCATTTCAAATCAATTGAGAAGCTTCTAAAAACGAGATTCTGATGACATACTATGTTTCTAGACATGTAAGTATCAGTAAAACACTCGATACACAAATGCTTAGCACTCACCGAGTACGCAATGAATCAGATATGCGTTCCATTTATCCCTTTCACAAGGTGCGCACATGATCTAGTGAAAGACAGCATAGATCAATACCAATTCAGCTGCGAATAATACAGCTCATCTTTGTACAAAACAAAAACTGTACGTCTGCATAGGCTTCAACTTCGCTATATTTACTGAGTTGGTAATAACTGTTGCCTATAGGGACATCTGGGTTGAGTATAGACCCTGGGCTTCATTGTTCCTTTCGTCGGAGCGTAAGCGATTGGATATATTGAATCAATTTTGTAAGATATATGTACATCCACATATATTCGGCAAGATATAGGTATTCGCCACTGCATATCGAAATCACCACGAATAGGCTGCTACCAGTGGTACTTACGCCCTGATATAAAAACGTCAATTTCCATGCGGATAACTGTCAACTAGAAAATGGCAATTCAAGATTGTATTCAATAGACATATGTGTCGGCGCGCTTCACTTGCCTCACAATTGATTCACTACACTATTAAAAGAGACCTACAATCAGACGTACGTATGGACCGCTCAGATGCGTTTTCACATCGGCGAAATGTTTGTCATGTACTACGCTGTTTAAAGAGAAGACCTATGTTATCGCCTTATCATATAGGTACATGCATATTCAGTCCAACAACCAATTTGACAGTGATATAGATGAAGTACATTCTTCATGTATATCTCCTATGCATACAACCATAAATGAACAACATAGATTTACTTACTCTCCACTTGTGTTTTTATTGGCCGCACTTCTTTCACATTCCATTTCGTATAAACCAAGAAGAAAATTGCTACAAACAGCAAGCAGCCTACGATAGTTGGTCTAAATCTGTGGGTGTTTACGTGTATCCTCATATTCGATACGAGTTGAGTTGGTCGTCAATATTATCTTCCGTACGATGCTGAACATCTAGCTGTTTCCCCAGAAGATCAGAAAACGTACCGCTGTTTAGGTCAATCTTTAAGACTGCGATGGCAGGTACATGCCATTAGGCACTGAACTTAATACCTCTAAACCATTTGCCGAGTGCATGAATGAACTGTGTGAGACTCTCAGATCGGTGCACAGCATTTAATGATCTAAGCGAGACC